TGAGCAATTTTACTGTTCTGGGGTAGAGAGTGTCCATTAAGTTCAAGATTTATGTAAGTTCTTTCTAAAACATTGATACTATTTAATTAATTATTAATTTAATATTAATATTAAATTTAATATTAAAACACACGCACACGTGCCTGGTGTGAGTTTAAGCCACTGGGTCCGAGACTCGAACTGCAGTTGACTACGTGGGAGTCCAGTGACATAGCCATTACACTAACTGCTGGTCCCTAATCAATTTTTTTAAAAATCAAAATTTTAAATTAAAAATTAATTTATTTAAATTATTTTATTCAAAATATTAAAAGTTCCTTCCTCCCTTCTTTCCATATACATATAGTTCCTTCCCCCCGTCTTTCCATATACATATATGGACTCCATTGTGAATATACCATGATTGTTTTCCCCACAGCACAGAATATTTCTGGTCACCAAAATCATGATGTTATAGCAAAAAATATATATACACACATGCATGTATATATGCATATATACATATATGTGTGTGTGTGTGTGTATATATATATATATATAGAGAGAGAGAGAGAGAGAGAGAGACATACACACACACAGAGGGTGGGAGGGAGGGAGATGGTCATCATGATAGTACAGCAAAAAATTGGAAATATCCAATAATGGAAGCTGTGCATATACACAATTGCTGAAAAATCATGAATCTTGAAAAAAATGCATGGAATGTGGGCCAGCAGGTAGTACGAAGATTAAGGCTCTAGATCCCACATGACCAGCTTCATGCTTTGAGTCCTGGACCTAGCAGCTTGAGAATCACACTGGGCATGTGTGTATGCATGCCCAAATCCCAAGATGAGAGCAGAAAAGAAGGGACTAGCCATCCCCTCCTTGGCAGTGATTTCTCACTTTCCCTCTCTCTCTCTGAAGAGCTCATGTACTCTATAACAACAACAAACATTCATGGAATGGATAGTATGAAAAAACTGTATGGATTTAAAAATGTTTTGCACCTAAATAAAACCATACTTTAATTCCATCTCCCACAAAATTTAGAGTAATTTTTAATTAACATATAATACCTGTCCATATTTTGGGGGGTACAACATAATTTAGTAATATAGGAATATGACATGCAATGCTTCATTCAAGATAACTGGCATACTCACCATCTCAACCATTTCTCATTACTGTGTTGGGAACATTGAAAATGTCTTTTACTTGTGAGGCACACATCAGCTTGTTGTTATCTATATTCATATATATATATACACACACATATATATATTCATATATATACATATATACACATATATGTGTTTATATATATATTAAAGAATTATTTGATTTAACTTTAATTATTTATTTATTTTAATTTGACTGGAGAGGGGCAGGGCAAGACAAAGTAGACAAATTGAGAAAGCAAGCCACCAGATCAGGGACTCAAATCATGGTCAGTCATGCGTGAGTCCAACACCCGTAACCACCATGCCACCTGCTGCCCCCCCACTATATTTTTTAACACTAAAAATTGCTTCTTCTGTCTATCTGCAATTTTATTCCCATTAATCAACATCCCTCAGTTCCTCTCCCCTGACCCAACCATCTTTCCCAGCTTCTATCAATCATTCTTCATCCCTCTACCTCTATGATGCTATTTTTTCAGATTCTATATAAGACGGAGAACATGCAGTATTTTTCTTTTGTGCCTGCTTATTTCAGTCAACAGTATGTTCTCCATGTCCACTTAACATCAAATGACAAGATTTTGTCCTTTTTAAAGGCTGAATGGCATTCCACTTTGTGACTGCGTGTGTGTGCACGCTACATTTTCTTTATTGATTTGTCAGCTGATGGACACTTAGGTGGCTTCCAGATCTTGGCTCTGGTGAATAGTGCTGCATTAAACATTGGGGTGTAGATATGTTTTGCAACATATTGACTTACTTTCCTCTGGAAGTAAAAGACCAAAAACCAATCTTACTTTCAGTTTTTTGAAAAGCCTCCACACTGTTTTCCACAATGGCTGTACTAATTTACATTTCCAGCAACAGAAGGCAGTTTCAGCTTCCAAAGCAATAGTATCATGGCTGAATCCTCTAGAGCAGTGTTCTCCAATCTTTCTGGCACCAGGAAAAGGTTTTGCGGAAGACAATTATTCCACAGAAGGGAAGGCATTGGAATGGTTTTGAAATGATTCAAGTGCATTACATTTATTGTGCACTTTATTTCTATTATGTTTACATTGTAATATATAATGAAATCATTATACAACTCACTAATGAAGTATTTGCAGCCACTTCCCAGGGCTAGCATTACCACCTCAGTTCCACCTCAGCTAATCAGGCATTAGATTTTCATAATGAGCATACAACCTAGGTGCTCAGCTCACAATAGAGTTCACGCTCCTATGAGAATAATGCTGCAGGAGGCAGAACCCAGGAGGTAAAGCAAGCCATGGGGAGCAGCTGTATGCTCACTTATTGCTCACCTCTTGCTGTGCAGCCTAGTTCCTAATAGGTCACAGACTGGTACCAGTCCATGGTCCAGGGGTTGGGAACTCCTGCTCTAGGAGAAGTATTTCTTCCTATTGAACCAGGACTTCTAGACATGATAAATCCAGTATCACAGAAATGGTGTACTGTATATTTTCTTTCTTTCTTTTTTGTTTTTGGAGAGGTTTTTGCCATAGGGCACGTGCACTCGCCAAACAGACAGAGACAGACAGAAAGTGAGAAATCACCTCCCAGGGGGATGGCCATGCTACAATCCCTTCTCCTCCATTCTCCTCTCGGGATCTTGGGCACGCGCGCACAAGCACCCGGCATGAGTTTTAAGCCAGCAGGTCTGGGATGCGAACCATGTTTGGCTACATGGGAGTCCAGCGACATAGCCATTACGCTAACTGCTGGCTGGGCCCTATTTTTTTTTTTTTTTTTGATAGAGATATTTTGCTGTAGGGTGCATGCGCTCACCAGGGAAACAGAGGAGACAGAAAGTGAGAAATCTCCCCCCAGGGTGGATGGCCACATCACAATCCTTTATCTTCTATTCTCCTTTCAGGATTTTGGGCACTCACACACACATGCCTGGAGTGAGTTTTATCACTGGGTCTGGGATTCGAACACAGTAGACTACGTGGGAGTCCAGTGATGTAACCATTATGCCATCTTTTGGACCTGAATTTTCTGTTTTTAATCTAGGAATTAGGAGACTGTCCTTTACAGATAACATCAAACTGGCTCCCTGTTCTTTTGGCTTCCTGGGATGCAGTCAATGGATGACCCCAGCAGGATATCAAAACATGGGAGTACAGGGACCAGCAGTTAGTGTAATGGCTATGTCGCTGGACTCTCACGTAGTCGACCGCGGTTCGTGTCCTGGACCCTGTGGCTTAAACTCACACCGGGCGCGTGTGCGTGCATGCCCAGGATCCCGAGAGGAGAATGGAGAAGGGATTGCGGCGTGGCCATCCCCCCTGGGGGGTGATTTCTCATTTTCTATCTCTCTGTCTGTCTGGCGAGCGCACGCACCCTATAGCAAAAACCTCTCCAAAAAAAAAAAAAAAAAAAACATGGGAGTACACAGTGATGGGTCTTTCTTCTCCACCATGTCCTTACTTTGGGCTGAGATCCAGCACTGGCTACAATTCTAGTATCTCATCCTGCTCTGCCAAAGGTTGGCATTGCTTGCTTTCCTCTACTGAACAGCATAGGTCCTATTGGGTACCCTCTCCAGCTCCAGCTCTCTCCTGGTTTTAGAAACTGCTCCCTTCCCTTGTCTCTTCCGGCCTAGAGTTAGTAACAGCTCTCAACTGTTGCTGGTTATGACTGTTTATTTAAGGCAAACTACATACCAGATATTGTGCTAAGTGCCTAAGTGCATTATCTCATTTAATCCTCACAACCCATCTAATTAATGAGATAGTTTGGGTCTTATTGTAGAGGTGATAAAGTCAGAGTAACAATGATAGAGCTGGAAACTGAATCTAGAAATGTTTATTCTGGAGTGTGTACACTCAAACACTATTTCCTACTGTTCTATCAGTCATTAACTTTTGTTAAAAAACGTCAAAGCTCCCACATGGCTTTGCTTCTGGCAATCCACCTGCTCCCACACCTGTAAGCGGGGATGCTGTTACAATTTCCTCATCCAATAACCAACTAGAGTGTCTGGTGTCTGGGACCTACCTTCCGCAATACTGAGGGCTGGTGCGCTTAACATCATGGGGAGCCCAGGAGGTTGAGAAGTTGTTTGCTCACATACTGTGCCTGCAGGAGGTTGGATGCTTTCTCCACTAATGCAGTGATCAGCCACAGCTAAGGCAGGGTCCTTCTTAAGGTCAGAGACAAGTTAAGATCATGCTATTCTCCCAACTCTTTTGGTTTCAAAGAACAGAGTGCTATTAGCTCAAGTATTCTCTTAATGAAACTGGGAGGCGAGTGAGAAGAAATAGACATCTCTCACAACGTCAGGGAAGAAAGATGTTTTTGCGGAATTCTGGTCCAGTCTGTTTTACATTTCCTGTCTTACTTTTTTTTTTTTTTGCCACTTTAATGGTCGTAATTTTACAGATCAAAAGACTAAACCCTTGGAAACCAGCAGTTAGCGTAATGGCTATGTCGCTGGACTCCCACGTAGTCGACAGTGGTTCGCGTCCCAGACCCGGTGGCTTAAAACTCACGCCGGGCACGTGTGCGTGCATGCCCAAGAACCCGAGAGGAGAATAGAGAAGGGACTGCAGCGTGACCATCCCCCCTGGGGGGTGATTTCTCGCTTTCTGTCTCTATGTCTCTGTCTGGCGAGCGCACGCGCCCTATAGTGAAAATTTCTAAAAGAAAAAAGAAGAAAAGACTAAACCCTTTAATTGAGATTTTGAGACAGCTGAATCGCTGCCGTTTTGAATTTGCCGCTTTGACCCGCCTTTTCCATATCCGTTCAAGGTGCCTGGGTAGAGGTACACCACAGGCTTTTGTTGCGCTTGCCCTTTAAGGAAGCCCAGGGCCGGGCTGATTGGCTGAGGCTCGTAATACGCTATCAGGGCCAACTAATCCTGAGTCTGGGGAGGGGGGAGAGCAAGGCCTGGTCCCTATCGCGGTCCTAGTGAGCCCTGGTCTGGAGGCCTCCTCTGCGATCACCTTGGCCCTGCGCTTCCGCAGTCCGCTGCCCAGTGAGTGAGCACTGACCCCGGGCGCGTGGAGAGGGAGGCTCCAGCTGCCCCAGC